AGTTGGGTTGTATTTAAAACATTCAACGAATGTCTTTACATCGTTTTTATCGTTTTTTATATTAAAATTATGTTCGTGACTAAAATGGCGTTTATCAAACCTGATACATCATTTAAAAATTTAAACAATAATAGTATATTAAAGAACTAATGTCATAAGACGTCATGACATTAGTTCATTATGCTATTTTATCTATTTTGCAAAAATTTTATAAAAAAAATTAATTATGAACGCAAAATAGATAAATTAAATTAAAAACCAATTATCTATGTCCACACATCTGGAAATTTGATTTTAAACTACTTCCTTCCAATAATTGAGCTTAAACTTTGCACACACTTTTGGTGCTGGTAACAATACAATATTACAACCCCCTTGACGAGTAGACACGATAAGGTAGGTGACGTCATACTAAATCCAATATGGCGGCTGCCCCAAGATGGCGGATTACACAACCTCCTGGACATGAGTATCAAATGAAAGGTGTTGTCTAGCGAATACGTGACGCCATTCTAATTTTATTATGGCGGATGTAACTAGCAATCTACCAAATAAATTTTAAAAATAAAAGGTAAAAAAAAAATAATAGTGTCTCTTCTTAACACTCAATGACTAAGCCAAAAATGTTTTAAAATTTTTAAATAACGTTTGATATCTCGGTTTAATTTGATAGTGCGGACCAAAAAATAAATTAAAAAATAACAGTGTGATGGGCAATATAGATAAACGTGAGCTCGGGTCACTCTGTATACCTATCTGACGGTAGAAACGATGAGTCTTACTTTTGGAGAAAGTTAAAAGACAAGTGGAGAAAAGCCAAAACCCAAACACAGATAATGTGGAAGATTTATAGGTATATCGCCTGGATTTAGATGCAAGTCCAGTTTGGACAAATCCCGCTGATGGGACCTATTATCGGCGGCTAAGCTCCCCTCACTAAACATGTCAATGGGGTGCAAATATGAAATGTGTAATAATAAAATACTAGACGTGGTTTAAACTGCTTACATTCTGTATATATACTACAGGATAGTAGAGGTAGTGTAGGTTGAGAAAATAATGTTGATGATATATTGAAAGAATTTGTTGAATAAATCTGTTATGAAACATATGTATGGAGGCAATACAAGGAGAAGAGAAATATGGTAAAATTAAATGGATTGGGGTTTGATATAAGATGGCACCTACGGGACCACTGTAATATAAGAATAAAAATAAAGAAGAGCTATACATAGTAGATAGTCATATACGTGAAATAGTTATAAAGGACAGAAAATAATATCTATAACTGAAAAGAAAAATGAGATAACACTGGCTACGTATCTGGAAAATTGAGAAGTGAAAACTTTAGTTCAGCGTATTCGATACAGCTCTAACCAACACACTTGTCATTCTATACGTTAAAGTCGATGAAACGTTTGTGGACTAACAAACGGGGGATGAAATTGTACGAATTCAATGAAGATGTCAGAGGTTTTGACCTTATACAGACACGTACCAACAATCATACGACTTTACAACTTTAACACATCAATGTCACAAATTACGCACAAACTCCCCCCCACCAAACAAACAGTCCAAACTTGAATGTAAAATAATCTCAAAGATTTTTCTTAAAAGCTTCGCTGATCCGTTGGAAACTTGAGTTGGTAAGTTTGCGGAATTTCATTCGGAAAATCTATTCGATACGATACGATACAGTAAAATGTGACGATAAGAATAAATAACGTCTTTCATTGGGCATTATCTTTCCTCCCTTTTACTCAACATTCATCCATTTACTATGTTAATCCTCTACATTCATGGCCAGTGTCATTTAATGCTGCTTAATGCCTTTTCGCAAATTAATGCCGTGTAATAGCTCCTTCTTTTTCCTTTTATTTTACTATCATATGAACACCAAGCTCTCATATACGTTCTATCCGGATTTTTTTAATTATCAAAATTTATTTTGTCGCCCCATTGTTCGAATAGTTTTTGCCCCTTTAACAATCTTTGTTTAAAAAGATTGAATTAGGTTTGGTTGAAGAAAAAAGAATATTTTTGGGAACAACCCAGCTTTGTATGAAATTAGTGGTCTTGCATCACTGATTTTAAGATCTTTATAAGTATTGGTTGCCTTTCTGAACTATATTACCCTTTTTTTTACTCCCCCGCACTTTACCAAAGATGGTTTACAGATTCTCTGTCTTCTCTACAGAATCTGCAAGAATCATTATCCACCTTACCAATCTTTCTTTAGATGAGCGTTGACCCTTAAGCATCTCGACCTCAAGATCTTTTGTGGCTTCCCTTTTGTTATTTGTTATGTTCACTGGGTCCAATTCCAGACCTTTGAAGTACGAAATGAGTGGTCTTGCATCACTGATTCTAAGATCTTTATAGGTCTAGGTTGCCTTTTTGAACGATTTTACCCTTTATTGCGATACTTCCCCGAACTTCATCAAAATATGGTTTACAGATTCTTTGTCTTCTCTACAAGAATCATTATCCACCTTACCAATCTTTCTTTAGATGCGCGTTGACTGTGTGGTAACAGTATGGTAAGGCCCAACCTTAAGCATCTCGACCTTAAGATCTTTTGTGCCTTCCCTTTGGTTATTTGTTATGATCACTGAGTCCAATTCAAGCCATTTGAAGTACGAAATAAGTGGTCTTGCATCACTGATTCTAAGATATTTATAGGTATAGGTTGCCTTTCTGAACGGTATTACCCTTTTTTGCGATTCAAAATTTTCCTTAATGATCATTGTCAATTTGATTGGTAGAGCTGGTTTCCTTTTAATTAAGAAGCAATAAACTGGCATTCTGGTTCATTGGTTGAAGAACTGGGTACGGAATTGGACTTTGAGGAGAAAAAAGAAGTTCTTAAAGAACTTGCTTTGAAGGATATAGAAATCACCTGGGAATTTCGGAAGAAAAGTTCTTCAAGTTGTTTTTCCAAAATTGCACCTAGAATTCAAATGCAAGATACTAAATTTGGTTTTAGTTGATCAAAAAGAAAGCACCATGTTGCAATATTTACTAAAATTAGCCGTATTGGCCCCGAAGGAGTTCCTTCGATGAATATTTAAAGGAGCATGAGGAGCCCCTTGCAAGAATATTAACCTTATGGCTTTTTGTTTTTGATTATGCAAATTGGAAAGGGAAATGATAATTCAGGGCTTTTATCTGCGGTTACAAAGTCCCTTTTGAAAGCAGACTGTCGCTACTTTGTTAAATAGGGGGTGAAACATTTAGTTCTGATTCATCACACATCCCGTAACCAAAAAGTCGAGGGTGTGTATGTACGGAATAATACATGTTGATTTGATTCCCGCCGGACGTAATATTAAATGTGACGTAATATTAAATGTGTCACACAAATCTGGAGCCTATTTATTTATGACGTTTATCGCAATCCGAACATCGAAAAGACACAGGGAAAAAACAAGATATGGTGATTTATTTAAATCACTATCTGGCTACTATATGTATTTTATTTATCTTAACAACGCTTTAAAAGGACCAAAACAATTTTATAGTGTAGTTAAAGCTTATAAAACTCAATAAATTAAACTGTTTTACCGCAAAAACAAAAAGATTTAAATTCAAGCGAACAAATTGGGTACCTATGTGAGATTTATAAGATTTTTACTATTTATAGATGGTTCCATTGCCCAAAAAAACACTCAAAACTCAAAATTACCGTAATTTGTATATGTTACAGCACTTTTGGCAAAAAACGATTTTTTATGTTGAAAACAGGATTTTATTAGGAATAACTTAATGTAAGTGTATATTTTTTTTTTAGTTTAATTATATATAACTGATAAGTGATATGCATATGGTATGATATGTGCAGATCACAAGAGCTAGTTGTAAACCTTTTCAACGAAAAACACAAAGATTTATCACCCCTTTCTCAGGCAACTGTTTCTAAAAAGAGAAAAAGAGATTTTATAGAATGGCCAGCAAGATCACCAGATCTAACACCTCTTGATTTTTTTTATGGAGACATCTAAAAAACGGGGTGTTTAAAACACAACCTGCTAATTGGGATGAATTAAGGAACATAATAACTTCAGAAATTATGAACATAACACCGGAGGTTTTAAACAGAGTGCAGGAACAATTTAACAGTAGATTACTTACTCAGGAAGTTGAACATTTATAAGATTGAAGAAAGTTTTGTTTTTTAATTTGTCATTACATGTATTGAAAACCCTACTTATGGGGTATAGTCGTACTCAGAAAAATGTGCACTATCAATTTTCGGTAAAAAAATGCATAATTTGGAGGGGGCAAAAAATTATAATTATAACATTTACAATAAAAAACTAAAGTTTACGTGTTATAGCGTTTTTCATAAAAATCTTCTTTCGTTTCAAGCCTAATTAAACTCGTAACAAAACATCGTTTATAAAACTTGATACATAATAAACGCTTTTAAATGGCAATAAAACAATGTTGAGTATGATTGAAACGAAATGAAAAATTACGCTTTACACCCCTAATCAAGTAATTTCCACCCCTAACTCGGTTATCATTGCAACGTGATTAATGGTAAATTTTGCGATTTTAAATGCACCCCAATAAAAGTGGCAATTTTGACTTTGACGGGCATTATCATAATTTAATTTTTAATAAATATTTAAAATCAAAAACATTGTTTCAAATTTTTACTATAGAAGTATAAATCTTTTTATGAAGTCGACTTGAATAAATTCTCAATTAAGGCATGAAAAGACACAAGTTTAAGAGGGCAAAAGTCTTAATATAAAAGTTTGGATTACCGGAATATTTTTTTCATTTTTCCTCCGCACATTTAAATGCTGCCGCATTTTTAATTGAAAATTAAAATATCGCCAAAAATTAATTCACCAACAAGATATAACAGCCCTCTACGCCAAAGTTACCGCAATTTGCAGAAGACTTGATTAATTAACAAAACCAAATGTTTTTAAGTAATGCAACGTGGTTTAATATAAAAATAATACTGTTAAAAAAAACTAACTCACCATTTGATGTGGCACCTGTGGATGAGGCAGCACGAGCGTAGCACAAAACAGCAAGAAAAACTAATGTCTTAAGTGGTCGCATTTTGTCGTTCGATGTTGACGTCGCGACCTCGTGCTTTCGTGTCGACACTGGAGACCGGTGCAGACTGCTACGGCTATCGTAACCGGAGAAATACTGGCTCGAAACCCGAACATGTTTGAAGTATACCTAAGGTCATGCGCTCTTGATACGTCTAACTTCAAGCCGGGCCAATGGCAGGCCCGTATGGCATTGCAATAAACCAATGGGAAATTTTAAAGAAGGCACATGGGAGGGCCCAAGACATGTAAGATATGTAATTAGAATTGTAAAACACAGGTAAAAACATTGCTAAACGGGCTGCTTACGCTTGGCACGTGGTGAGTACTTAACCATTCCAAACGTAATCCCGACTTCTTCAAGAAATTTTCCTTAAGCCATACATCATTCCCCACTTGCCCATTTGTTGTATATTTAATCTAGAGTGCCGACTCCAATCCCCGCTTATTTATGCTTGTCAACAAGTTTTTGAATACAATTAATTAAATCTTCATCAACTAATTAAATCCAGTTTCTTAATGTTTTTGATAAATTGAACACAAATTTATACAAAAACATTAGTTTAAATTGACCACAAATTTATACAAAAATATTAGTTTCGATTATTATCAATTTATTGGCGAATTAAAAAAAAGAGTCCATTAAAAAAAAACTTTTTATTTAGAATCAAAAATATTAGGCTTACTTAAGAATTCAGAAAAATGTTTACAATTTAATTACACTGCGCGTCAAAATTAACGCATAATAAGTAAAAAAATTGTAACTCTAAAACGCCTTTACCAATCTATATTAAATTTTTTATATATAAGAATACTTCAACTTATATCTCAGTTTACGTGTTCGAGGGTTTTTCGAGAAAATATTTTTAAAGCCTTTTATTTAATATTAAAAAAACGCTCGAAAAAAACTTTTATAGGGAATTTTTTGAAGTAAATAAAAAATATGCTGTTAAAGACCGTATTTTTGTTAGTATACCCTGAAAATTTTGTACAAATCAAACGAACATTAACGAAGATACACCGCTTTAAAGTTGGTAAAAATGACCCCTTTTTGATTATTTTGCTGAAAAGAGGTCATTTTTACCGACTTTAAAGCGCTGTGTTCAGAAAATATCAAGAATGTTCGTTTTTTGAAACAAATATTTATTTATTCGTCTACATTAATGTTGTCGCCTTCAAAATAGTCCCCATTGGATATTAGCACATGTGCCAGCTCTTCTTCCAATACTCGAAACACTTCTAAAACTCGATCTTTGGGATAGCCTTTAGTTCTTTTAGCGATGCGCTTTTAATGTCATCTATGCTTGCAAAACGACGGCCCTTTAAGGTTCTCTTTTTTTTTGGGAATAGCAAAAAGTCAGACAGAGGCATGTCTGGCTAATATGGAGGCTGGGGCATTATTACAGTATTGTTTTTGGCCAAAAATGTTGTTCAAAATTTAACAATTTTAGAACAAATTTTGCTGCCACGCGTTTCATACCCAAAACATTAAAAAAAATTTCATGGGATGAGCCAATCGATATACCAACATCATCAGCGACTTCTCTGATGGTTTATAACCATTTCTTCCACTTTTTCCATGTTTTTATCGGTTGTTATTGTGCTTGTGCGTTCGGAGCGTTCGTCATCTTCAACGTCTTCACGGCCATCTTGGAAACTCTTATACCACTTGTAAATTTTTGTTTTACTTACAGCAGACTCACTATAGGCCTTTGTTACCATTTCACAGAATTTATTTAATTTTTTAAGCAAAATTGGATACAAATTATTTGATCCATTTCTTTTAACGAACGAACTAACCTTAGCGGCTGCCACAGACAAAGTAAACAATGAAAACAGCTAAAGTTTTTATCATACTTCAGGGGCATGTATACCAACATAACAAAGAAAATTTTATGACAACAGGACCCTCCGAACCCGCGAAATTTAGCAATTCCCGTTATTTTCTGAACACACCTCGTATATACCCGGATAAATAATTTAAATAAACTTAAAATTTTACAAATAATATGGATTAGAAAAAATATATTTTTGTTTAATAAGTTGTTAATTTTTTAAGACATTTTCGATATCGCAAATTAATTTTTGATATCAAAAATTTGAATTTGTGATATCGGAAATTCAAATGTGATAGACTTTTAACTGACGATTTGACGTTCCATAACCTAGGCAAATACGATAATTATTGTTGTTGCAATAGCCCCATTGTTTTTAAAAGTGACTGCTAAATAAAAAGTAGTTAGGATAAGAAATGTGGAAGAAGAGAAGGCTCATCTCCGAATAAAAGTTGACAGTGCGGCAAGGAGCACTAGATGAGACATGACGCACGTTGACAGATTATCTATAGACGCACCCAAGGGACTGCTGCTGTTGTACAGTGCATCCTCCATTCCAATGAACCCACGAATTTTAATCCAGATCGCTCAACCGCGGTTATTTCTCATCCTGACACCTCACATATCTCTATTTAAATTTTTCTCGCGAATTTTGAAAAACAAACGTTAACTGGATTAGCTTTGAATGGCGAAAATCCCCATTGGTTTTCAATTACGGGAAGAAATCTATGCAGATTGATTTAGGAAACAATTCCAATGTGTTCAGTTGCTCCAAGTAAAACAGTCTATTGTTGTGTGTGTGCTTTGTAAAGGAAAAAGAATATTAGTTAATTTTGTAAAAGCATTCCAGTTCTAATGGAAAATGCATGATAATTACTGCCATAACCAGCATAAATTTAATGCGTTAAACTGTCCGATTTCCAATCAATATCCGTCCCGGATATCCACTTGATACACCTATTACCTATTGCTAGTTCATATTCGTTATATTGGATATTATTGTTGTTTTGATTTAAAAACACAACAAGTACGAAACAGTTAAAAACGGTTAAAGTGAAATTCTTGAGTGTGCTGTGCTTTATAAGGAATTGCTTTTAATTAATTAAACCACAGGATTTCCAGCAGAGATATCATCCTGAAATGCCACCGGAATTAAGAATAAAACATATTTTAAGCGTTTTCTTATTTCTACTTAGGATTAAACATTGTTTGTAATTTCTTGGGTTTTTTCTTACTTTCTCAAAAGGATTTAAATTACGCAGCACTCTATGGGGAAGTATCAGAGCACTCTTGAAATAAATTAATTTCCTGTATTATATTGGAAGTTGCTTTTTCTTTAAGTGCGTAGAAACAACTGGCACAATAATTATTTATTCATTATCTCGACTTCCAAAACGACCTTTTATATTGAATAAAAAAGTATTTTGATCAAAGCCAAATTTTACTGGCATTTCTAAAGAATACCAAATCATAAGTCACAATTTAAATACTTCTCAAAAGTCTCAAAAAAATAATATATTACTTACTTAAAATTTTAATAATTTTAACCGCAATTAATTATTTTTTACAATGTTTTAAAAGTCTAAAACCCATCCTCCGTGACTGTTACTCTTTCTAGGTTAACCTATATGTTTTCAGATATCTGAGGTAGTAAAAGCATACTAAAAATATCAGTTCACTAAGTAAATTAAACACATCCAAAGCAATCGAATCAAATATAAAATATTATTAAAAATTAAAAGAAATAATTTTTATAGTCATTTATGTAGGTGTTACAAAAATTGATTCTATCCTCCGTGAATCTGTTTTTCTTTAAATTTTATGCCACGGATGGCGCTTTAATCATTTTAAATAAGCAAAAACCTCTGTTTACGACATTATAGATGCATGTGATTCCTGAAGGTCAGTTAGAATTTAAATGCAGATGAGAGTGTTGCTGTTTTATAATTCAAAAGTTTAAGTTCATTAATTTGCTATTTAAAAACCTATCCACCGTGAAGTGTAATATCTCAGTAAGTAGATTTTTTTATAAATATTTTATGTACAATTGTATTTTTATAAAATATTAAGGTGTCAAAAGATACAATAACTTATTTTAAATAAACAAAGGGATGTTTAAAAAAAAACATACGAAATCCTAACCTCCGTGAAGCCCTAATATTTAAAATGTATGATTTCCTAAAATTCTTGCATTAGTGCAAAACCACTTATATTATGTTATTCTAGACCTGGTGGCTTCCCAAAAACCCCATTCTAGACTAACAGTGAAAAAAACAAAAATAAAAAATAATCATTTTCACTTGGGGGACATCTCAACCGTACTATAGTTATCTATAGATAACCCAAAATTATCAAAAAACAGAAAATTGGCTATTAGAAAAAAATTCTCTTTTGCATTTTTTGTTTTTGGATGCCCTTAATGATAAAATCCTTTGCACGTCTCTGCTTGTACCACATTGTATAAGGCAATTTTCTCTTTCAAAAGTATTTTGATGATGATTCTTGAAAAGATTGAAATGCTAGCATAGTTGTAAAATAAGGCAAATTAAATTTGCCATTCGGTTTATCTACGATATTTTAGTTCGTGAATTTTCACGACTTCTAATTCTGTTAACGTTACAACTGTGACACAATGCCAGTAAACTAAATGCTGAATAAAAGATACTTAAATTAAAACTTCCAAACTGGCATTTCAATTATGTTAAAAATGCAATTACACATATGAATTTTTTATCCAAACCAAAACGCTAATTACAAAACTTTACATCTAAACGAAATTTATCGCAACATTAACAGATTTAACTGGGACAAATTGAAACTAATACAATTTATACAAATCGTAGAAAATTCATTAGTGATGCGGCTCCGTAAATCTTTTAAGGTGGCATAAATTTGATGTCCCCACAAAAAAAATCAAAAGAAGATAAATCCGGTGATCTCGCGGACCATTCGATAGCAATCCATCTAACAGGAAAGTGCCTTACACACTGAAATAAATGAATTTGTTAAATCAACAGTTTTAGATAGTTTTTGATAATAAAACAATAAACATTTTGTTGACAAACTTAAATTTTACTTTCAATTAATATTTTGAGAATGTCAAATTAAAAATGTTATTTTAATATTTAAATCAGTATAACACTAAACGTATATTAAATAAATATTGTTAAGAAATTTGATTAAAGCATTTTTCTATTTGTTAAATGGATACACACACAAAAATTAAATGAATATGTAAAATGATTGAAGTAATTATTCA